CGGTCCCTGTGATTTGCTAAGCTTGTTCTAAGTAGGTGCTTTAGACCACTGAGCCATCTCTCCAGCCCAACATTTTAATTTATTTATTTATTTTGGTTTGAGACAGGATCTCCTTATGTAGCACAAGCTGGCCTCAAATTTGCAGCAAACCTCCTGCCTCAGCCTCCAGAGTGCTGGGGTTACAGATGTGTGCCACCATGCCCAGCTGTAGAATATTTTTACAAGTCTGAACTGTTTTACAAGTAACAATAATAAAAGAAATCAAATGCCAAGCATGGTGGCATACACCTGTAATCCTAGTATTCACAGCTGAGGAAGGAGGACTGTGGAACCTGCCAGGAATACTTAGTGAGACGGTGTCTCAAAGGGGGAAAAAAAAAAAAGGAACTGAAAAGAACCAAAAGAATTAACAGTACATAGAAAAATTAATATGACCAGGCGATATTGCACAAAATTATTTTAAAATCTGCATTTGATATATATGCTATTGATTTAAAATCTTTTCTAAAATCTTCAAACACAAAAGCCCTAAAACACAACTGCTAAGTAAGTGTTCTTGGGTACACCTAGGGTTACCAGCAGGTTTCCTGTCTGAAACGTAGTTTAGAAACTTAGTCATTATCTTTAATAACTAAAGTTCAGTTCACCACTGCCAAGTAAACAAGAATCCAAGAATGTGAATACAGGCTTTTCAAAATAATCTTTTCCTTTTAGAACACTTTCAGATTCATAGAAAAGTTGCAAGAACAAAAGTAGCCACACACTACACATACACTGCAGAGAGCAGTTAAATATATCAAAGTCTAACTAAACAAGTCTCTACAACTATGCTCTTCCTCTACTATCTCATTTTAAAACTGAGAAGTTGAAAGTAGGTGGCTCTTTTTGTAGTCCCAGCTACTTTGGAGGCTGTCGCAGTGGGATCTCGAACACAGGAGTTTGGGGCCACAAGGGCAAATATAGCAAGACCCACCTCAGAAAAGTGGAAGAAAGAGAAAAGAAAAGGAAAAGAAAAGAAAGAAAAAGAAATTGAGACGTTATTTGGAAATCAGTGAGGTCAGCTGAACACCCCTATACAAATTCTTTCAGTCTACAGTCAGAAGTTCCAGGGCTGCCAGATATCTAAATTGTCTTGATCTTCATAAAATCGCTTTTTAATTTAACTCTTAATGCTTAAATTCAGTAATGTGCATTTTTAAATAAAGATAATGCACTTAGAATAAAGAAAACACGTTACTGATTACTTATTTCGAAGTGACAGAGATGACAACCCCTAGATAGGGCTGCGAAACAGGTATGCAGTCTATCGACAAACTGCATGAAGTAGCACAGAGAAGCGACACCTAAGTCTTTACAATTAGTTAAAAACGAATAACGCACTTTTCATTAAAGAATGATCAAATTTGTCTTCTGACTACCAGTCTAACTACAATGACATATAAACATCTAAAAGTAGAGCCGGGCATGGTGGTGGAGACACTTGGCTCGCTGCAAATTGGAGGCCACCCTGGGCTACATCGGGAGTTTAAGGCTATTTTTAACTACAACATCGAGACCTTGTCTCAAAACAAAACATCCCAAACATCTAAAAGTAGACACTATCCAGACAATCCAATACCAGCATTCGGGAGACTGTGGCACATCCCGCCGCATCCTGGAATCATTTTTATCAAAAACACCTCGGAACACCAAGAAACACATTTGATCCCCTTGAAAGACGAGCACAATGCTGCACCCGGCGCCGCACAGAAGGGAGCACAGCAGCAAAGCCCCGGCGCTCCGAACACTGCCAGCTTTTTCCTACCTGCATCTCACCACCACTTGGATATTCTTCCCCTTATCGTCTTTCTTCTTCGCTGAGGGATTCTGCTGGGACGCCATGACTGTTCCAGCCAAGAAGCCAAAGCCTGCCGGCGGACTGGGACAGCGTGGGCCGCGGAGGGACCAAGCGACAGGCGCGCCCGGGTGCTCGCCTCCCCTGCCGGTGTCGACCGGCAAGCAGCTAGGCGCCCCTGGGCCCACCCGGGACTCTAACAGGCAGAGGCGCAAGTCTCTGAAGATCCGGAACACCGGACCTCCCAATCACGCCCCAGCCTCCGACCTGACCAACGACTCCGCGCCTCAATTTGAAAAAGCAGCCTAGTTGCCAGACCAATAGCAGCGCGAGCGCGCAAGGCATCATGGGAAACGGCGTCGTCACCGGTGGCCGCCCACGGGACGCGAGCTCCGGGGAAAGCGAGAAAGCGGTGGGGGCGTTGTAGGAAAGCTCTGTGGTCCTTCAGGGGGTCCTTGCCCAAGTGCCATAATGCCGCTAACCCAAAATTCCTTCTGAAAACGGAAATAACAGGAACCGTCCCAGAAGGTTGTGGCGAGCACTGATGAGCTTGTCCGAGTAAGTGGGTTAGATGAGCACAGTGCGCACTCAGGAAAGGCGGGCCGCGGTCGTATTTATAAACTTAAGGGCCAGGAAAATAGCTCGGCGGTCTAAGCGCCTGCCTGGCAAGCGCGAGGACCCGGGCTCCATCCCTGGTACCGCGCGCCTGCCGACCCCTTGCCGGGCCGGCCCCGAGACCGAGCGTGGTGGCGCACGCCTGTAATCCCAGACTGGGGAGGCTGGGACAGGAAAATCACTACGAGTTGGAGCTGCGTAGCGAGACCCTGCGCGCACACACACGCAAAGTCCTTTTAAGAGTTGTGAGGGAGCGCTGAGCAGAGGTCTGCAGCTAGCCACCTTTACGGAGGCAGCGTCCAACATAGTCGTGAAGGACAATTAATATTAAGTCCTGAGGGTATCACGGGCTCTACTAAATCATGAAGTACACACTTAATTTACTTGGAGGATTATGACTTTATTCCTTAGTTGATGAGATGTCATCGTTAACTGATTCCGTGCGACAAAGCAAGGATTTCCGATTGTTAAAGCCGCTGTCCTGCCGGTGTTGCTCGGCTCGGAGGCGGTGGCGCGGGCGCGGCCTACAACTCCCAGCATGCCGCGCGCGCACCTGCGGCTCTCGGCGGGCGCCGCCCCGCGGGGAAGAGGTGGTGTAGCGAGCGTGTCCTGCGCTCGGGAGACGCGGCTTCCGACCGCTACGTTTCGGACTAGTCCTGGAGCTACCCTTCTGGGCCACACATCCCACGAGAGTCTAGAAGTTATTTCTGCCTCTTCCAGCCAAGTGCGGTGGAAAACTCTGCTGTACGCTTGTGTGCGTCCACCTAACAGCCTCTACAGCTCAGCCCTCTGGTCCCATCCGTTCTGTACAGTGGGTCTCTCGATAACTCGCCTTAGCAGGCTCCCTGGCAGCTTTAAAAATGGACCCTATGGAACTCATCATCCTTTTATCTCTGCACCTCAGTCTTTCTCGTTTGGAAGGCTGGTGCTAACCAGAACCTTTGGCTCCTCAACGTCTGGGGCAATCCTGTTTATCTCCTCTGCCATTCCTTTTTTCCTGAAGAAAATTAAGAGGTCATAAATTTAAGTTTCTCTTCTAGTTTCTCATTCCCTACTACGTTCACACAGCAAAGGTAATAATAGCTTTTAAAAAACAGTTGCACACTTCATCCGCGCCCGCACCTCCAGGGATAGTGAACTCAGGCCCTCGGCTCTGAGAAACATCCCCAGGATCTTGCTAGGTCACTAAAATGCCCAGGCTGGGTTCAAACCTGTGATCCCCCCCTGCCTCAGCTTCCCAGAGTATTGGGGTTACAGATGTGGTCCACCGCATCCGGCCCCCTCATCCACTATCAAACCCTCACTGAGTACTTTGTGCAGGCAAGGTTCTGAAAATTTGGGCTGGATTATTGAATGGGGCTCAAGACTAAATCTAATGGAAATGGCTATGGTCTTAGGGACATGTGTAACAGTTTGTGGCACTAAGCAGGTAGTTGTTTCTGAAATGTTATTTTATATTGCCCTTGCAGAGACCAAGACAAGCTAATAACACCTCTCTTAAAAGTCTGCCTACAATTAGAAATTACTTGGGTCTTGTTATTGTTTTGATTTTTGTTTGATTATTTTTTCTTTTGAGACAGGGTCTTGAAATGTAGTTCAGGCTAGCTTTAACTGGCAGTGTAGTTTGGGTGGCCTCAAACTCGTGGTGATCTTTCTGCCCCAGCCTTCTGAGTGCTGGGATTACAAAGCTGTACTGCCACGTCCAGCCTACTGACAATATTTTAAACGTAGCTGAGCTGTATTATAGTAATGCAACATTACTACAGATATCTTTGGTCTAGCATTTCTCTTTCAAAAAGTGTATATTTCATGTATAAAGTATTTTACATTCATTTTATTTTTCTTAAAGTAAAATATTGACATTTTAAATTCAAGGGTACTTCAGAAGTTTTATAAGAACAACAAAAAAATTATCTGCTTTACCCTGCCCCAGTACCTCCAGATCTCTATCCAAGATACAATCACTTTCAACCCTTTCAGTTATTGTTTATCTAGCATTTGTACATTTCCAGTTTTGCAAGAAACTTGTATACGCTGTTACCTTTTGATTAATAAATTTTAGACAGTATCTGTAGATTTATTATAAATGGGGGTATAATTCTAAAATTTACTATCCTCTCCACTTTCTCTGTCTTATGTACCCAATAGTGCAATTTATTTTTTTATTTTTGATTTTTTGTAGAGCTGGGGATCAAACCCAGGGCCTTGTACAAGCAAGGCAAGAGCTCTACCACAAGGCAAGGGCCATATCCACAGCGCTACAACTTTTAGATAAATAAAAAATCTGTGTTTAGATTATTATGCTTATTCATACCACAGCATTTCATTTTGGTAACTGAACTAGACACTGCAGTGAAATGCTTTGGTGTGTATTTATTTTCACTCATTGTGCTAAGTGCTCAGAGAATCCTTCCAGTCTGGCATTTTATTTCTTTCAATTCTGGGAAATGCTTTTAATTATTCATTTATTTATTTATTTATTTTATTTATTTATTTATTTATTTTCGCGGAACCAGGGATTGAGCTCAGGCTCTTGTGCTTGCCAGGGAAGCGCTTATTCTTCTGAGCCATCTCCCCGGCCCCTGTTCATTGAATATTTCATTCATATTCTTTGTTCATTGTTTTTGGGACTCCAATATATACGTACTAGATTTCTATTTCCCAGCAATTACTACTATTTTGATCTATTTTCATTTGCCTATATTTTAAATAACTGAAATCATAATTGAATATATACTTTTGTATCCAAAATTAATATAACTGTGCAGTGTGGTGGCACATGCTGTAATTTTAGCACTTGGAATGCTCAGGCAGGAAGATTGCCACATGTTTGAGGGTAGCCTGGGCTACATAGTTCAAGGCCAACTTGGACTGCATAGCAAGACCCTGTCTCAAAAATAACTTGATGTTCAAGAAGAAGGGGGTGGTGAATCAAAGTAAGAGACAGGAAAAGGAATATTGTGGGACTGTCCTGCTTCAAAGTTGTATATGGTGAGATTTTTGGACTTATGTGCAAACATGAGAAGTATATAATTCTTTATTCTATTTTTAAAGTATAA